TGTAAAGTTATTTGTATTCATTCTTCTTTTTGAAAGTCCCAGACAGAATCAGAAATTGCAGATTATAAATCACTTACCAATTAAAACCAGCAGAGTAAACACTGCAGCATTTGATTTCAAAATCCACAATATCACTTATGGCTCTTGTAAATATTTACAATTTGTTCTTACAAATCTATTATTAGATACATTCTCCTGTTCCAACAGACAGTGTTCGGATTGAGGTAAACATGAGACCAGAATGACTGTGGACTGGCACAGCATACAATGCACACAACATTCAAAGACACACAGCTAATAGGCTAGTCTGTCTCACAGTCCCTCAACCACATTATTTTGCCTACTGCCAAGCCCTATTTGTAGTGCTAAAGCCCTAAATAAAGCAAGCTGAATCTCTGGACTCCCTGGGGCTTCTTTTCAAATAAAAGGGGCTTGTTTGTTTACTGTCAAAATTATATATATTCAGAGACTAAGCATTAGTGTACCCATTTGGCGTGAGTCTCACGCTTTATTAACGAATGTCACGTTCTCACGCCTCCAAATAATAATCTCACGCATATCTGGAAGCCAAAAATAATTTCAAAATTAATACGCATTTTCGTTCGTTTTTGCGTAAAGTTGAACATTGAAAGAACGCCTGAATGAACGAAGTACTAAAACAATGTTTATGCGAATGATTCGGCTTATTATTATTTATTAGCATGCATCTTTTAGTGTCAAAATAATGCCACCAGAAGGCTCCAAATGCTCCTGAAAATCACTAAACTTCATTTTTGGGTGGGGCTTCGTCCCCCCACCAGGGCATCGCCCTCGACATGACCTGGACCCTGGCTTATTTTTTTCAGTCTCACTCTAAACCATCTTAAGGGGTTGACAGCTCTGACAACGTAAATCATCCATAGGCATGGCAAAATTACCAAACAATGTCCTTACCAAATCAATCATGATACGACAATCCTCTTACCGTTACTGCACTAATTAATACATCATTTTACAAGGGAGGCACAAATGCAGGTCAAGCGGATTAATCTGTTAGATTATCTTGTAAATTATTTAAAACCACATGCTTCCTATGCCATAGTCTGTCTGACAGTACCTGAACCACATTATTTTCCCTACAGCCTAGCCCTGCATAGCTAAATCCCCAAATGAAGCAAGTCTAGATTTCCTCAGGTACTGAATCTCTGGTCTGGGACTCATTTTCAAATTAAATGGGTTTAATCGTAACAATCAAAATTATATATTGAGAGACTAAGCATTAGTCTACCAACACCATACCTGTCCTGTCTGCCCAGGGCTACAGATAATTTTTCAACATCATGAGTAAGTACTCCTTATGTTTTCAATATAGGAGTACTGGATAAACTTAAGAGTACATTTTGAGTACTGAATGGAATTTAATGGCGTATCAGTAATCTTGTGTTTCGTGTCATATATGCACCACAACATTACTACTCTTGTGTAAACAGGTCAATAAACAATAAAACAACACTCTTTCAGATAAATACGTCTCTAAATGATTCCAAGACCGTACACCATTGCTGTGGTGCGTATCTGCTACGTTTTCTAAATTATTTCCTACCGTATCGTGCATATTTTTTATCCGTACATACGCCGATACGGCCCTTATCTGGAGCCCTGCTGCCCAATATTGATCCTTCCGTCACGTTTTTTGCCAATTACCTGTCTTCTACTGCATGAGGTACTGAGACTAAACCTGTCTATCAAGAAGACCTAGTCACATCGTGACAAGTGATATTGACCAGTGTTCTGATTTCTTTGTCATAATACCCTCAAGTTGTGGCTGTTCAGGTCCTGCAAACAGTGTCCATGGGTTCTCATCCACAGAACACGATTATCGTGATTCCTTCTCAAAGTCCTACAATACATACGTGTGAGAGATGAGTAAACAAACTTGTCTCCAACACCATGAAATGTGTACATACACCAACATTGAATCAGGCCATCATATGGTACTTATTACATTTACATCCACATTTTCTAAAAAATATTAAGCATTAGTAAATATTTTAATCAAATGAACTTTTGAAAACACCTGTGTATGTTAACTCTGAAAGTGTTTTGCACAAGGCTTTAGCAATATTCCAGCAACATGCATGAGTGACACCAGAAATACAATATTTGTCATAATATTATCCACACTGAGGATACAATATTTGTCGTAATATTACACTGAGGACTGTGACTATGTCCCTTCTACTGCTTTTCATACTGATTTATGTGGATTGGGTGGTCTGAGAAGTGACTTGGCAGAGTGGGTGTGATCATGGCTAATGGTGTCGGCCCGCATTGCTTATACTTTTAATCACTGGTTCTTCAGTCACCAAGATGTGATAATATACGGGCACTACATAATATACACATAATGATTATAGCTGAAACATTCCTCAATAAAGTTGTAACAATATGCCTCTCCTGTGTGATACACATTGCGACAGTTGCCATGGTAATCTTAACACTATTTGAGTGAAATTCTCCTTGTTGACATTGATTTGAACTGTTTCAGCTGCATGACTGGTTAACATAGGCGTGTTCTAACATATTCAGTCCGCCGATGTATTGCTTTAAGAATTTCAGTAGAAGAGTGTACATGGAGCAGTTATCACGTTGGGTCACTGTTTGAAAACTGATACCAAATTAAATCATTATGAACAATACATCAATAGACATATTGCTAATATTGTCAGGCTTCATTTGATTGAAAATGTGTTAGCGACACCCTATTTCTAACTGCACCTTGAACATGTTGAAACAAGAGTCATCAGAAGATGACATATCCCCCCCGGACCCCACATATTTGAAAGAACAAATCATCTGGCAGTTACTTAAAGTCCAGCTTGCTGTCTTTTTTAGATTAAGTTCAAATGGTTTCCATGGAAACCAAGAAAAATGAAAAGGAAAAAATGTGTAAATAGCAAGAGGCACCACTTTAGGTTCTGTTTGATATATCTACCAATTATTGTTGAAAAATATTGAACGTTTTTTTAGTTATGCTCCGGAAACAAAATGATTACAGACGGACGGACAGACGGACGAGCCGTCGACTATATCCCCCCACATTACATGCTGGGGGGATAACAAGAGAACACACAAAATTGTGTTTAAGCATCGCACCAGATATTCACACACCTGGACCTTTTTCCATTAAGTTCACAATTCAAAGAGTTCAGTTCATACAATCTTTTTCAGTACTTTCAAAATATTACTTAAATTTCATGTTTGGAGGAAGAAGTAACACTCCTCACATGTACAGATTTTTCTAAGCCTTAGGCAAATAGATTAACAGACTACCGGTAATTAGTTGCTGTGACATATCCTGATTTGTTCAGACAATGTGATAATTTAGAAACAATCTACTAGACGAGCTACAAATCTGTGTTGGCTTTGAGGTATATAACAAAAGGTTAGAAATATTTCTACAGAAATCTTTAATGAACAGTAAGTCGCAAAAATAGCCCAAACTGAATTCTGCTTAATACTGTCAATACTGGCATCACAATTTCAAAATCATGCCGAATGGACATTTCATCAAAGACATACTTTTCATGCAGAATTAAAACTAATATTAGCATGACTAGTTAGTAACATTAGCATGACTAGTCAGTAATATTAGCATGACTAGTCAGTAATATTAGCATGACTAGTTAGTAATATTAGCATGACTAGTCAGTAATGTTAGCATATTAGCATGACTAGTCAGTAATATTAGCATGACTAGTCAGTAATATTAGCATGACTAGTTAGTAACATTAGCATGACTAGTCAGTAATATTAGCATGACTAGTCAGTAATATTAGCATGACTAGTCAGTAATATTAGCATGACTAGTCAGTAAGGCTGTAACTAGAACTGTAGCCTGCCCTTCATAAAAGTTCAGTAATATTAGAATATTTACGATTTTTTTGATTGAACCCTTGTGTACTTTTGGAAAGTGGAACATGTCACTTGCATGAGTCATATCACTAATGTCGACTTAACTATTACATACTATTTTGAGAAAGATCACTTTTAGCCATGATCAAAATATGGCGTTCCATATTTTTACAATATTGTAGCATTGAAGTTAGTTGTAGCATGACTAGTTTGTAATAGTAGCATGACTAGTTAGTAACATTAGCATGACTAGTTAGTAATATTAGCATGACTAGTCAGTAATTAGCATGACTAGTCAGTAATATTAGCATGACTAGTCAGTAATATTAGCATGACTAGTAATAACATATTCTGGTACAACAATGCATTGTGATCTGTCGCTGTAGGCACCACTGTTAAAAAGATTCCATCATCTGACTCAGCAACATGTGGGACTCATACAAGTCTATCAACATTAATTGCCACAGATAAGGACTCAATTTCACCAACAAACATTTAATGAAAGCTGTTTCCCCCAGTATGATAACAACGAATGACTATGCCAGGAAGGAGATAGAAGACCTACTCAATTTTGTGGGCCTGTGTATCATGTGGTGTATAAGGCTAACAATGTTATCATTAAAACCAATTTATTATAAAACCAAATGTTATCAAGGAGCCCTGTATATAGGGAAACTTTCAAAGTGAAATAATCTGGACTAGTAAATGGATACCATGGTTTTACGGGATGTACTAACTAGTTCCAATAGAAAATGGTTGTTGGAAAAACTACTGCATTCTGAGGGATGAACAGAAACGTTCACTCTGAATGTGAATCAAGAGTGAACCAAGAGAGTTATGGGTGTCTGTTATGTCATCCACGAGTGATGACCACTGTCCACATGACCACTGATTCAATTTAAACTCTGAAGTAGTAATCTAAATGAACAATGCACTACATAACTTCAATACTTTACAGGGCACTCATTCTGCTTGCAAAGAACCTTAAAATTAGCAATTTGGAGTCCTCTTGACCCCCATTGTCAAGGTCAAACTCTGGGATACCCTTACTATCAGGCAGTTTACTTGTGGCTATAGCCTTTTTCAACTACTAATGATCAACTCACCATTTCAGGTAACGAAGAGATGTCAAAACTTTCACCAGTCGTTGATTTCAACACACCAGACACTCCTGAATCCTCCCTGTCAAGTGGCTCGGTGACTTTTTCATAAGATTTAAGAAAACGTAAATACCGACGATACATTCTAGAGTGGCATGCTTTTACATTCCAAGTACCATCTTCTATTTTGGTTGCTGTGACAACACCAATGCTGAACGCTAATGGATCTGTGTGCTAATCAATGAGTGAATGGAACCCCAGCAAGAAGCTTCCCATCCAATGGTCACATGTTACCGTCTTTCACTACTGATGTATTTACTGCCGGCCTCCATTAACCATCCAAGTGTTGAACGTCTCACACCCGACAACAAAACAAATATCACAGGTGTACAACCATGTGTATACACTTCACTGTCATCGTGAGGCAACATCGTCCTTACTGATTGACACAAACATGCAATCAGCCCAAGTCTTGATACACAAGACTGCCAAGGTCTTTTGTTTGTAGACTGAAAGGTTTTAGGTATAAAAACATGGTCTCTTGTTTTCATTTCCCATATTAATCATTTAATATGGCCTTTTACATGTTTTTCTGGTTCTTTCAGAGTAGGTTTGATGAAATCATTTTTGCATGATGCAATCTTCTTACTTTCTAGTCTGTTGACAATGGGTGGGTTAGCCTAGTAGGTAAAGCACTTGCTCATCACACGACAACTGGGGTTTGATTCTGACCATGGGAACAATGGGTGTTTACAACTTTACACCATGATAAAAGCTGTATAAAACCATACTCACTCACCCAAATCTGCAGAAAATCAACATTAACATCTAGAATATTATTAGCTGAGCTTACTATTTCTGCTATACAGACTAAATGTCTAAAGCTGGCCAAAAAGATGATAAAGCTCTAACACAAACTAGGAACAAGTATTGTCACAATATCATCAGGGTTGTCAGGTCACTTGTTTTGCAAATGATAAAGCTAGTCACAATTTGATACAACAGGATAATACGGTTTCTATAAAATATATGTAAGGCAACATATGAAACAATACACTTCAATGATCATGATTATGAAGGATATTACTTTTGGAGCCAACTGAAACATATTGGGTAGATTCAAGGCAATATTTAAACAGCTTCTTCCTCTATCTCTTCTACATCCATGCAGGAAAACATTCTGCCACACTTACAATACTGTATGTTGTAAAGGTAACTTTATCAGATAAAGGTGACAAAATATCATTCAAATATTAAAAATGTCAGTATTGTACATCAGTGGATAATCTACTGATTTTATCCTTGTATTATGCCATTATATTGCATAGCATCAAACATTCAGTAAACACTGTCACACATGCTAAATAAGTCTGTGCTGAAAACTTTGAGGCTACTAACGCCAAAGTAGCTCTTAGTAACATTTTCAGTTGATTTTCATCTTCTGATATTTTTGAGCTTGATAGACCAGGCAGATTTGTCTGACACGGGTTTCAGAATAATGGCTAGAGTCCTACACTGGAACCCTTACTGTCAAGGTCTGTCACATCTTCAACCTCAGACCAAGAGACTCACACTGTCATACAACTGAAACATCTCCACTCTCAGTAAGCAGCATTCAATGGGTTAATGCTGTAGCCCATCCAGTTCTGGAATAAGTCCCGAGATGTAGGTTGAGAGGTCACTCAGGTCTGGTCAGGTCATGTCATATATAACAGTAAAGCTGCCATGCCATCTAGGTTGTAGATACTGGCATTCATCCACCCAGTGACACAGCAATTTGGAAGAAAGAAAACCTCACCTGGGTACAACTTTGGTTTACTCACAGGAATGCGATAACAAAATAGTTGGCTACAAATATAATAATTGGCAAGATCAGAAATATCATGTATGGGAAAATATCTAAAGGATACTCAAAACAAAGCTCTTTGAGCATGCACATGGGATGGACTATAGCGCTGCGCTATATAAATACCCAAATAATAATAATAATACTGATGATGAAATATAGTTATAATCTACACACACAAAACACAAACTTGCGTCTATATTCATGGGTCGCTTCTAAATTATGTTCAGAACACTGTTTTTGTCAGTAATCCCTGCACAAATGTATCACCATTCACAAGTTGGGCTGGCTATCGATAGATATCACAGAGATCAATAATGGTTAACTAAATATTGACAGCAATATTCCAGCAATATCACAGCAGGGGACAACAGAAATGAGCTTCGCACATCACACACGTGGGGAATCGAACCCAGGTCTACAGTACGACCACCGCACGCTTTGACCATTAGGATAACCCACCGCCCTATTTTTGGTCCAATGCTTGAACACATTACAAGGAAAATGAAAACATTTTATCCTATTTCCTTTTCAAAATCTTTATAATGCTCTATAAATGCATGATATATAAGTGGTCTTTTTATTATTATCTCTTGGCTTATGTCTCTATGTATCATTCACAACAGAAAGAAATTGTTTCAGATAGCATCCCTAAATCATATGCAGAGAACATTCTGTTCCGACGCCAATGGATACCTGACAATATTTATTTTTAGGTTTAAGAGTGAACTGTGTGATATATTGGTGTCATTATCCACAAATACTGTGTATGTCAACTGTATGAAATGAATTTCATTGATCAATGGGTATAAAACAAAGATTGGCAGTCTATATTGAACATGGACGTAATTATGAACCATTTGTTTAGATCTTGTATACATAGCATTGATTGCAAGCAAGTGATATTTATCTGCTTGATTGTGGAATATTTTACCAACGTCACTCAATGCAACACTGATGAAGCTGATTTTTGTGCAGTGTTGTCAGTGGAACTCTGCACCTTGAATGACTTCCCCTAGGAATACTGCACAAAATACACTGGTAATAACCGCAGCCTAATACAAACTTAACTGTAGCAATGAGTGAGTGTGTGAGTTTAGTTTTATGTCGCGCTCAGCAATATTCCAGCTATATGGCGGCGGTCTGAAAATAATCGAGTCTGGACAAGACAATCCAGGGATCAACAGCATGAACTTCGATCTGAGCAATTGGGAACCAATGACATGTGTCAATCAAGCCAGCAAGCCTGACCACCTGATCCTGTTAGTCGCCTCATACGATAAGCATGGGTTACTGAAGGTTCATTCTAACCCGGACCTTAAAGCTTGTGTAGCATGACATGAACACAATGCAGTGATCCACATGAGTAACTGCACGCTTCGGTCCCAAGGTTTCTGATTTCAGACTTTGAAGCACAGTCAAAACAAAAAACATTCTATCAATAGCTTGTTCTGTGATTAATGGCCCAGTACTTCTATGATATACAACACAGGCTTATTTATCTGTCTCACTGTCCCAGACCAACAGTATTTTCCCTTCCGCTCAGCCATTTCTGCAGGTCTAGATTTCCTCCTGAATCTCCCATTTCACAGGACTGCTTTTAATTGAAAATGAGTCATTTATTTCTATCAAAATTACATATATTCAGAGACTAAGCACCAGGCAAGGGCTTTGTAAATGACTGCCCTAAAACTGAGGCATCGACCATGACCTTGTCCGAGAGTAGTAACCTGAAATAAACTCTTCACCTTTATCATGTCAGTAATACTTTTAGCTAATAAAAGCTGAGGGTAACTCAATTAATGATCATTTCACAGAAACTTTACCATGACAAAACAAAGACTACTTAAGGATGCTTTGTATTCTGATAACATGTGTACGGGGCATGTTCAGTGACACTGAGCATAACAACTATACAAATTATCCAGTCAACACTCACTTGGACATTTGTTTATAGGTAATAAATATCATATGTCTTCGTCCCTCTTCAGATAGGGTGTAGGTTTAAGTGCTTCTTTTAGCACAACTTCAGTGAATGGCTTCTTGTACTTGCATGGGAATCAAACCCAGCCATATGTGATACGTAACTACACTGACAACTAGGCTACCTAGACTAACGCTTAGTCACGGAATACATAGAATTTTAAAAGAAACTAACAGTTCCTTTTAAATTGAAATGGAGCCCTTGTGAGATGGGATATTGAGGAAATCTAGACTTGCTTCATTTAGCATGTTTAGGACTTAAGTATTGCAGACATCGTTAGGCAGAAGGAAAAGTAATGCAGTTCAGGGACTGTGAGACAGACTACAGCCCGTTTGGGTTCAAATGAGAATGATAAATGACTAATAACTCGAAATAGGGATAACTGCACAAAACATAATTAAGACATATGTTCCTGAAACCTGTACCCAACAGGTGGAACACCCACAGGAACACCGCTGTCACGCACTTAAGGTGCAACTCAGCACAACCAGGCAGTGTTCACGAATAGTGTTTCAAAGTAACGAGACATTGGGTCCTGTAAGTTTCAGATGTCTGTCTGACCCATTGAAAATTCACAGGACCCATAGAATAGAATTAAATAAACATTTCAGATTTAACATTTCTCATAATTGGCATTGAAATTATTAACAAACATAAGATTTATAAACAGCAAACAAGTGTCATATGTCACATATAACAACTTCAGTCAAAGTCACTAAATATAAAGTCACAAAGAAATATACAGCCAGACACTGGGGCCGGCGGGATGTAGACTTCTATCAGACTGTTGGCGAATCTGCCGGATTTGTCAGAGGGTCAGACGCTATTTGTGAACACTGAGCCAGGTGAGATGAACCCTACTTGTCAGGGAAACAGCCGGCAATGTTCCACCACCCGTTTGTCACCCCTTGGTGTGATGTGTGAAAATAGCACCATATTACATGATGGTTTCTAAACAACTTTTTCCATGATCCACCAAAAAACGTCAGATTTCAGACCTGTAGGGTACAGAGGTTTCAGGAGTCAGGACCATGTGTCTTATTCACGTTTTGTCCACTTATCCCTATTTCGAGTTATTTAATATTTCATCGTTCTCATTTGAACCCAAAAGGACTGTACTGGACTAACCTGCCTTCAGGTTGAGACCTGGCCTCGATTTCTCGAAACAAACTTAAGTTTTTACTCAAATTTGAAACTGAGTTGGACAATTTGAAACAGCTGAATTTGTAACTCAACTGCATTTTTAAAATAAAAAAGCCCAAACAACTTCAGTAATGTATCCACCAAACTCAAATTGTGTACTGTGTTTGAGTTCAACATTGATTTCAG